ATATATATATATATATATCCAATACATGTACAATGTTCTTAGTTCTTTTAAGCAAACATCTAAGGATATTAGAATGGGTTTTAGTGTCAGAATGAATTCTTTTTGCCGTCTCTGAATCTGTTGGTAGTTTAGGGTCAAAATTCACAAAAGACAATCTTAATTCCTGTACTTGAGACTTAGGTGGGAAAACTGGCACGTAGGGGAGCGGGGAGTCATCAGTGTGAGTTCTTTTGCTCCTCCAGGGGATGGAAGAAGTCTCGTGGATTTAAAGGGGGGTTTTGTCTCCACCGAGTGGTTCATAAACATTCTCTGGCTGAGGGGGTCTACACTGGCATAGGTTTCCCTCCCTTTGATTTTGGAAGTGCCGAACATCTCTTCCTTTGCCAAGATGGCGGCCCCGGATCCTGTGCAGCTAGAGACCTTACAGCGTCTCCGCACAAGGTGCCTGCTCAAAGCCAAGTTCTTCCCTGGGACGGCGGACAGCACACAGGGCAGCCTTTACACTTTGCAGGCAAGCAGCAGCGACTCTGGTTTGCCGGGACAGGCGCACCTCCGCCAAGATGGTGGCCGCGGGGCCCGCCTGGCGTCACCTTTCTTTACCAAGATGGCGGCGGGAGGCTTCCGGCACGCGCTCCTCTAGTCCCGGATCTCCAAGATGTCAGAGCAGAGGCGGCCGTTTTCCGAGTCGGAGCGCGGCAGCAGCGGCCGTGGTCTCACGCCCGGGCGGACATGAGGTGGAGCCGCGTCAGCCCCCGCTGGTGTCAGGAACTGCCGGGCGCTGTCACCTGTGGGCGCGCCAAAGTTCCGTCCCCACACCAAAGCAGCAGTGCACCACCTTGCCCCTGTCAAACTCTAGTATGTGCGGCACAAGGTAGGAGGCTCGCTCCCCGCGGCCCGACGCGGCCAGCTGGGGAAGGGGATACCCTCGGCCCACGCCCCTGCCTAGTCCTCGGGGACCGGCCACGTGTTTCCCTCGGAGCGCTGGGAGGCGCGTAGCGGGAACAGCTGGAGGGAGCTGAACGTTGACATTTTAAAGCTGCGTGTGTTCGGTGTGATTAGGAGGGGCAGGGGTCCCTGGATCGGCGACGGGTGAGCGACACCGGGAGCCCAGCCTGCAGATGTCAAGATTCGGGGGAGGGGCCTCCACGGGGTACTTGGCTGCAGGCCGCGAAGGCGGTGGAAGGAGAGGTCAGGAGTTTGGGATGACAGCAGGGCGGACTTCGCCAGCAACTTAACTATTCCGTCTGCAACTTGCTTCTCGGCCTGCCACCTCCCCCGCCTCCCGTGCACCCCCAGTCCCCGTGCTTTCTTCATCATCGTTTTTAGTGCAAAGAAATTCAGCTCGCCTGAGCTTTTGCATTTGGCATGCAACTTCCTTCGAGTGTGAGCGCGCTGGCAGGCAGGGAGGGAGCGGTGGGGGTTGAACTTGGCAGGCGGCGCCTCCTGCTGCTGCCGCCTCGTAGACTGGGGAAGAGGGTGGGGGACGATCGGGGCGCGGGGGAGGGTGGGTTCTGCTTTGCAAGTTCTCTCCCAGTGAGAGCGAGCGCGCGGCGGCTGCAGACCGGGCCGCCCAGACGATGCGGGGGTTGGGGACCTGCCGGCACACGAGTCCCCCGGGCCCACAGTACGTATGCACTGACCCCCTCGGTCCTCCCTCCCCAGTCTTCCTAGAGGGCGTGTCTGCCGTCCGGCCCCCTGAGCGGCCGGGCGCCAGGCTCAGTTTCCGCGCTCTTCCGTACTCCTCCGCTAGTGTCACACACTTCGCACAATTCGGCCGGCCGTGGGCGCTGACCACCCGGCGGCTCCCTGTCATCAGCAGGGGCGCGGGCCTCGGACCGACGGGGAGGGCTCCCGAGGAGCCAAGAGCTGGGCGGGGCTGGGGAGCGGGCGGGAGACCGGGAAGAGAAACTAAAGAAACTCGGTTCCTCCGAGGTAAGGTCAACACCCGCAGCGGCCCTTCACTCTTTCCTAGGGCGGAGGCCATGCCCCGCGCCCCGGGCGTGCAGGCGCCGTCGGAGCCCGGCTGGCGGGGCCGGCGAGGGGGGCGAGAGCCGCGGGCGCCCTTGCAGTTGCCGCGCGTCGCCAACAGGTTGCACCGTTCCCCGCGGCCTCAGCGCGGCCCCTCAGGCGGGGAGCGGCCGGGGGTGGAGTGGGGAGCGCGTGTGTGAGCGAGTGTGTGCGCGCCGTGGCGCCGCCTCCGCCCGCCCCCCGCTCAGTCTTGCTCGCCTGCCGAAGCCGGGCAGCCCTTTCGCGTGTCCGCGCTCCCTCCCCCCCCTCCTCCGCCTCCTCCATTTTGCGAGCTGGAGTCAGTGCCTGGAGCCTGAGTCGCCGCCCGCCCGTCGGGGACGGATTCTAAGTGGGTGGAACGAGACGGCGCAGCCGGGGCGGCGCGGCGCCGGGACGGGTGACGCGCGTTGGGCAGCCGGAGAGCGGAGCGGCGCGGGGTCCGACCTGTCAGCTGGGACATGGGAGACTCGGCGCTCTAGGGACGCCCCTCCCCCATGGAGAAGGGGGCGACTGTTTACTTCCTTCCCCGGGTGACACGCGCGCCTCCCGCGTCCACACGCCGACTTGTTTATCTGGCTGCGGTGGGAGCGGCGGCGGCGAGCGGCGCCCGCGCGGAGGTGAGCGGGGGCTGGGCGACCCGGACCGCCGCGGGAGTCGGCAAACTTTATTAGCCCGAGGAGTGAGGGTGGAGGGTGGCGAGGGCAGGGTGGCAGTGACGACAGGGCCGCGCGGGTGACAGCGCCGGCCTCTTCCTCTGCCCGCGCGGCTCTCGGCCGGCCGCGGGGGAAGAACCTGGGCGCGGGCTGCGCGCCGAGCCGTCAGGCTGCCCGCTGCCCAGCCGCGGTGCCCGGCGAGTCCGAGCTGGGGGTGGTGGTGGTGGGCGCCGTCCTTCCTGCACCCCCCGGGGGCCGCCGGGACGCCCGCTGCTCCTTGGCGAAGACAGGCGGCGCCTGGGCTGCCGTGGCCCGAGTGCCCCAGTGGCCCTCGGCGGGCGCGCGGCTGTCAGGGCGCGGGCGGCGCAGCGGGCGGGCGGAGAGTCAGCCGGGGGCTACAGCCCGCCGCTCCCAGACCTTGGCCGGGCCGGGCGTCTGCTAGAAGTGGGCGTGTCGGAGAACGCAACAGGTCTGGACAAATTTCTCCCTAACCTCCGCCACCCCTCCACCCCCCAGGACTCGTTCGCTGGCTTCTGGCACGCTTTCGCGGCAGACTTCCGAGTGGCCCCTTTTAAAGAGACCCTCCCTGACCGCAGGAGGTTCTGCGCAGTGATTTTTGACAAGCGCGCCTTCGATGTTTGGGGTTGCAGGCTTGATCCTAGCGGCCTTAGCACTTAGGACCTCTTGGCATAGTTCACCGAGGGCAGATGGATGGGACAGTTATTTACCGTTTAAACTGGGGGATAATGCCGCTTAAGGGAGCATTTCGTTTTATGAAGTATTGTTATAGTTTGGGGCTTGAAGGCAGCTGTCAAAAAAAGGGAACGTGAAAATTCATTAAGCTTCATTGGATACCTTGTGTTTAGAGATCCTTATCAGATCTGCACCGCAGAGGAGCAAAGAGAGGCAGGTTCCTCATGCTTTTCCCCTTTCAGCAAAAGCCAAGGACCTTATACTTTAGTGCCTTTACACAGGAAAACTTTCTCCTTTTTTAGACAGTAACTTCCCAAATAGACTTATCATAGTCTTTGCCAGCCTCGTAAAACATTCTGATTACTGACAATCTAACAATCTTGAGAAACAGTTTTAGAATTAGATGTTAAGGTTTAGAATTGCTGAGAAAATTATTCAGTTTTGTTGGATACTGTTTTATTTGGATTTATATGTGATTTTACAGTCTGTGTTTTCTATTTTTCAGTACTTTTGATATTTGGAAAGAAAAATCTTCATCTAGAGATACGGCATTTTGTATTGACTGTCTTGGACAGTTTAAAAAAGAAATATAACTAGATTAACCTTGATGTTAGCAGGAGTCTTGATAAGAGCCAGACAGCTCCATAATAAGTTAAAATTATAGTGAAAAGTTATTACAAAGTCTCTTCTACTTTTCCAAATGTGAAGTTTGGGCTGTGTGTGGTGTATCTCATTTCTTATATGTAAAGTTTGGAGATAAGCACTACCAGATAGGTACATCTAGTTAGTGGAATGGTTTAAAAATAAGAGCCTTTCCCTAGCCTATTACAAGATAAGCAAGCTGCATTGTTTTTTTTTTTTTTCAAATAAAACATGCAAAATTCTACAGTAGGTTGTTTTTTTGAAAGGGTTGGATGTGTGAGGACCGGTAGAGGGTGAGCTTGGGAATAATTAGGTGCAGACAACTATACTGTGGTACCATCAAACATTGTAAGTTTTGGTTCTCAGAAAAGCAAACACCCTTGAGTGGAAAGCAATTGGAATTTTAAGAACCATGCTTTTTAAAATGAAATACTTTGACATCAACTTGAGCCTTCAGAATAATCACATGCAATGAATTATAATTCCTATGATTACCAAAGCTACATATTCAGTGAGTGGCAGGGTAAAGAGCCAAACTCAATTCAATACAACTTCGTCCTCCACTGTACAGATGGGTTATGTTGTATTTTTTTTTTAATGTGGCATGCTGAATGGCAACAGGGATGAGGCTTTTTATTCTAAAAGATAGAAACTCCTCTTCTGACAGGAATTTGATTCGGGAGTTATCTAAAATGTTAATTTAATAGGCTGTCTCTTACTAATCGGATCATAGAGATAATGTGATTTTTATAGCTTATTATGTTTCCTCCCCCTCCTCTTTTTTTGTAGTTAATATTTGCTGATGGACTCCAAGGAATCCTTCGCTCCCCCTGGTAAAGAAGTCCCCAGCAGTGTGCTTGGCCAGGAGAAAGGGAATGTGATGGACTTCTATAAAACCCTGAGGGGAGGAGCTACTGTGAAGGTTTCTGCATCTTCACCCTCACTGGCTGCTGCTTCTCATACAGATTCCAAGCAGCAGAGACTTCTGGCTGATTTTCCAAAAGGCTCAGCAAGCAATGCCCAGCAACCAGATCTATCCAAAGCGGTTTCACTGTCTATGGGACTGTACATGGGAGACACAGAAACAAAAGTGATGGGAAATGACCTGGGATACCCACAGCAGGGCCAAATCAGCCTTTCCTCTGGGGAAACAGACTTCAGGCTTCTGGAAGAAAGTATTGCAAACCTCAGTAAGTCGACCAGTGTTCCAGAGAATGCCAAGAGTTCAACATCTGCTACTGGGTTTGCTGCCCCCACAGAGAAGGAGTTTCCACAAACTCACTCTGATACATCTTCAGAACAGCAAAATCTAAAAAGACAGACTGGTACCAACGGTGGCAATGTGAAATTGTATACCCCAGACCAAAGCACCTTTGACATCTTGCAGGATTTGGAGTTCTCTGCTGGGTCCCCAAGCAAAGGGACAAACGAAAGTCCTTGGAGATCAGACCTATTGATAGATGAAAACTTGCTTTCTCCTTTGCCAGGAGAGGATGATCCATTCCTTTTGGAAGGGGATGTGAATGAGGACTGCAAGCCTCTTATTTTGCAGGACACTAAACCTAAAATTAAGGATACTGGAGATAAGACCTTACCAAGCCCCAGCAGTGTAACACTGCCCCAAGTGAAAACAGAAAAAGATGATTTCATTGAACTTTGCACCCCGGGGGTAATTAAGCAAGAGAAACTCGGCCCAGTTTATTGTCAGGCAAGCTTTTCTGGGACAAATATAATTGGTAATAAAATGTCTGCCATTTCTGTTCATGGCGTGAGTACCTCTGGAGGACAGATGTACCACTATGACATGAACACAGCATCCCTTTCACAACAGCAGGATCAGAAGCCTATTTTTAATGTCATTCCACCAATTCCTGTTGGTTCTGAAAACTGGAATAGGTGCCAAGGATCTGGAGATGACAACCTGACTTCCTTGGGGACTATGAACTTTGCAGGCCGATCAGTTTTTTCTAATGGCTATTCAAGGTAAGACGAATGCTTTTCTGGTTCATAAAAACAATACATTTAAGATAGGTTGATAGATTTTTTTTAAAGAAAAAATTTATGCATAGTGTTTTCTGGAGAGCTATATGTTTTTGCAAATGAGTAAGTACAACTGGTCTTTTGAAAGGCATGGTAGAAAATCCAAATGATTCAGCTGTACATAAGAACTTTAGGTATTTTTGTTAAATAGCAATAGTATCCCACTGGTCAGTAGTCAAGACTTTATTTGAAAACTTTAAAAACAATATTATTCAGTAATAAGTATCTTAAGTAAAAATTATATAAATTCAAGGAAATATAATGTCTGGTTGCCATGACTATTGTGCATATTTACTTAGCTGTTTAAGAATAAATTCTATGGCTGGAGAGATGGCTCAGTGGTTGAGAGCACTGACTGCTCTTGCAGAGGACCTGGGTTCGATTCCCAGCACCCACATGGTGGCTATGAACCGTCCTTAACTCCAGTTCCAGGGGAATCCTAAGCCCTCTTCTAACCTCCACGGCACTGCACGACACAGGTGCACTCACATACATTCAGGCAATACAGTCGTACACATAAAATAAAAATTTTAAAAATGTTAAAAAAGAATAAATTCTAATATTACAGTTAAAAGTTGAGCTGCTGTATTTGTACTTTTGTGAAGTGTTATCCTGCAATTCAAGAGTTAAAACTTGGAAGTAGTAGCACTGAGCCATGCTCTTTAAACTGAACCTTCTGGGTTTTGAAACTGTTGAAGCAATACAGTGAGTAGTGTCCTAGACTGCAGTATTAGATACGGCTCCTGTTCAGAGTTCAACTTGAAGTAGGCAGATCATGTCTGCTGATCATTCATTAAAAAGGGAATTGGTGGCAGCATAGTGTAAAAGAAAATTCTCCTTTCAAGTGCTTCTGCGGATGCTCCTGCACATAACTCGCGACCAGAATTTTCAGGCTTCAGTTATCAACAACCATTATGTGTGTGTCTCTTTTTTTCCCTCAGTAACATAAGTATACTGACATTCTGTCAGACCTCAGACAGGTCTGTTAAAATGGAATTATTGAAAAGACCCCTAAGTTTAAATAAATGCGTTGGTAGGCTGAGGTTCCCTACCAGTACCCTCATCCTCAAGTCACATAAATGCTAGCTTGCATATCTATTTTAGGTATGAAGGAAAATAAAATGAGGATTGTAGTATGCAAGGTTGATTCATCATTGGGTGTCTTTGTTTTGTTTTTGAAGAAGGCATAGTGTTCATTTATTTGTATATAGTTCCATCAACTTTTTTCTTAAATATTACTAATGTTCACTGTTCTATTAACTAGTCATTTGAGAGGATTTTACTTAAAACTGTTCAAATACATTTTTTTCAAGCAGTCTGCCATTGAGCTGTTTTCCCAGCCTTTGACTCTTTAAAATTCTTTTTCTGTGAAGGTTATCCTAACATTAACATACAAAAGGTATCTGTTTCCTCCTTATGTAGAAAGCTCTTATTAGGAAAAAATAGATTTAAACTCTGATCTGCTTTTCTAAACTGCTTATTTCTTATCAAAAGGGAAAGAGCCACCTCAGTTCTTGTCTTATCTTAATGGGTGAGCAGTAGTAATCCATTATTCAACAAATACTTTTATGTTGAGGAACACTATTACAGTGTTTTAACTTGTCTTTTTGGATTAAGGTTTAAAATGTTTCCAATAAGAAATTTTGAGTAGTTTCTTAGTACATAAGCTGTGTTTTTTCAAATATTAAAAGACATGCTGTTTTAAATTTTCCAATTTCAAATTTTCAACAGATTTCATGTGTTTAACTTCCTTTAAAAACTAAGTACAGTTGATTTGATTATCTGTAAGAAGCTATTAAGTTGATTTATAAAACTTGTAATTACACAAAGAATAATACGTTTAAGAAATTCTTTGTGCTAATAGTCATCATAAAACTTTCTGGTTTCATTATATAAAAAAAGAATCAAAAAATTTCCATGCACTGTGAATTTTTATTGACTTATAAAATCTAGAATATGAAGAATAAGTCTTAAGTGAATGTAGTTGCCTTTAAACCATTAAATAATGTTAATGCTTTAACTTTTAATGTTCATACTTTCCTTAAGCCTCCAAATACCCAAATAGGCAAAGCTATGATGATGTGGCACTTTAAAAGTTCCTTCAATTAAAGAATGATTAATTTTATACCAAGGTATGATTTGGAATTATAATCACTAGTCTCTCATTTAGAAAAAAAAAAATGGCATAATACCTTAACACATGATCCTTGGCAGTCCTTGAAAATGTTATACCTTGTAGCATTAACTAAGTACTGGGAACTATGATTACCCAGAACAAAGCTTCACCCAAATAAACGGAAACAATGTGTCTTTTTCTAACCATCATTGAATTAGTCTATTGTTTCCAAGCAGCAGCCCTGGCAGGACTAAAATTGGTTCCTTTCTCTATATGTTGCAGGACTCTAACCAAACATTAGCTATGATCAGTGACACCCCCACTGCCCCCAGTTATCAGCCAGAATCAACAGGCTGAGGCCACAGCTTGATTGAATACTCTCTGATTTTAGTTATAAAAACTGTAAATGCCACTAATAATTTTACTTGGATGGTTTAGTTTTAAAAAGCATAAATTTTAATTAGGATCTAAAAGTGTGTGTCTGGGGGTGGGGCGGGGGGACTCGCGGAATGTAAAATAAATACCTTATGTTCTATTTGGGAGAGAAGGCAATTCCTTCAGATGTGTCCGTGCACCACAATATCAAGTAAGCACATCAGATTGCAAAGTTATAAATATGATCCAAGTAAACCTTTTTTTTTGTTTTTAGGGTTAAGTTCATTGGTGGTAAAACAAGAGAAACTTTATTGATGCTTGGATTCATTCTTAGTAAAACCAATCTCTGACTTAATACACTCAGAATCAGTAAGCTTAACATCAACATAACATTGAAGGAGGCACATTTCTGCATGATTTGATTTTCTTCAACAGTGTTTCACTTCAGCATTAATAGTGACATCCCAGAAAATATGTGGGGAGAAGTAAATGGTTTCCAGTAGAATTAAAGTTTTTACATTGGGATCATGTTCACATTTTAATGTTAAAAGGTGGACCCTTTCCTAAAAGGTAGGAATTAGAGGGAAGAAACCATCCAGGATGGATTTGTAAATTCAGCGTTCTGTGGAGTGCAGAGTTTTGACAATTGGTGTTCAATGAAGCTACTAAAACTTAAGTAAATGTGGATATCTGTAAATGTGAGAGATATCTGTGTCAAGTTGTACACAAGTAATGAAATTGAAGAATTGTCTGAGCGGAGGCTGAGTGAGACAAATTCTGTCCTTTCCTCATTTTGCTTATTAATCAGGTCAGATGGTTTCTGAGAAATGGAGGAAGCATAAAAGAGAAAAGATTTATTCTGGCAGTAATGAACCTTTTCTTTGATGGATATTTGTTTTAGTTCTTATCGTTTTAAACCTTTTCTTCCAAAGACTTTGACAATAGGTGTTCTTAGTGTTTCTTGCTAGTCATACATATAAAATGAATTCTGAATATGATTTTCTTTGAGCACATACTTAGTTGCTTATTTATTATCTTTATAGTAGAATCTTTTCCTCTTTTAAAAAAATCGACGTTGTTTAGGTGTATGATTGATTTAAGAGAAACTTAAAATGTTGTGTACTCAAGTGTGTCAGTTTAGAATGGAGTAATAAATACAGAAATGTCAGATCTTAATGAAATTCTTATGATGTTTCTTTGGCTAGTCCCTGTGTATTTTTAATTGATAATATAACATTTTATTTGACCACATCCCATGTATTTTGATTGTTTATGAGTATTATGACTTATTCTGAAATATCCTTTGTACAAATATAAATGAAATGCAAGTTGTACTATTAAAAATAAAATTAGTGTGTAGGTGAAGAGTACTTTATGGCTTTTGGGGATTTTATGAGGAGAGATTGGATCAAAATGGTTCTGTTTACCTTGAGTGTTAAGGTGAAAGACACAGCATCTGAATTAACTGGTCAGTTATGTAAGTGGTAATCCACTCTGGCCTGCAGGTGGTTTAAATAGCCTAGGTATATTAGGAAGCCTTAATTTATCTACGTTTAGAAAAGGTCTGGGGCATAATTCTTCAAATACTTATTTTCTTCAATGAGTAGTAAGTTCTTGAGGTGTGAACAATAATAGGCATAATAGGTTCATGTTGTATTTACCATTCTGAAATTATCTTGGTAATATTTTCATCAAAAATAATTGTTTAATACAGTATTTATAAGTTTTGCCAAATTAATAAGCACTTGATTCCATTTTTTTAGTTATATGCAGAGTACATACTGGGGAATCCTGGTGCATAAAGAATATTCAAAAAATGTTTAATTACACTATAGCCAGAAAAAAAAAAAAGTCAATTATTGGTCTTTACAAAAGGGGTTAAAAAGAAGCCCGTGCATTCTTTATCTCTTTCTGTAGCTTCACTGAGCCAACTGCTCTCATTTTCTTCCAAATATTCTACCTGGGTTTTGTATTTTTCAAGTTCTGCTAAGGAGAACTTACATTTTAAAACACATCTCTCAGGTGTTCCCTTCCTTTTGGATTGTATGATCATTTATATGCCAAACTACATTAGGACAAGACTTGGAAGGATGGCTTTATTTCATTTTACATACTAATATTTTTGTACATTACAAACTTTAACTGCAGGCAGTGGCCTCAAGCCCCCCAGTGGGGAGGCGGGGGGGTGCAAAGAGAGCCTCAGGAGAGGCCTGGAATGGGAGAGCCGCTTAGAATTTCAAATATAATCCCCAAACTGATCATTTGGTTGGTTATTCTTATAGTACTTACAGAGGGAACGCACCAATTGGGATTACAGCTGGTGCTTTCCTGTGAGGTGCCAGTCACAGCAAAGTAGCCCTAATGTTTACATTTAAGTTGTTTCTTGTTATGTTTTATTACATTTTACTTTCATTTCTGCTAAGACTAATTTCATATTTGTACCTTTTTAACA